GTGCTGCTGCTGCTGCTGCTACGGAGCGATTCCGCAGCAGGCGCGGGGCCGGGGGAGTCCGGGCGGTTGCCACGGTAACCGGGGTAGGAAGGAAGCAGCCTGCGCGGGAGTGGGGGGAAAAAAAGGGAAAGCGGGGTGAGGGAAGAAAGAGAAAGCTCGCCGGCGTGTGAGGCGGAGGGAAACAGCCGCCGCCCCCTCAGCGCTTGTCCTTATTACTTCCACAGTTCCCAAGCACCCACTTCTTCGGTGAATTTTTAGAAACCTTCCCTCAACAGCCACCTTCCTCCAAGAGAGGCAATGCCTCAAGAAGGAGCCAATCCGGAAAGATCCTGAGGGACGTCCTGCTCACACAAATTCCTCAGACGTGCATCTGGAACACCAGGGGGGCCGTACGGAGACGTTCCTCCCACACCTGCTCAAAAACCTGAAAAAGCACGCTCATTATTACGCACTAAAAAGGGCCCCTTGTTCTGCAAAGCGAGCTCTAGAGAGAACGGGAATGGCAGTCTTCCAAAATAAGGTTTCTCCGTAAAGAGAAGCGTTTGGTGGTTATGCGCCCTCAGGTTGCTTCTGACTTATGGTGACCCTAAGAATTAATAATCTCCGAAAGTCTCTCTCATTAACAGCCTTGTTCTGGCACAGTAAAGGCGTGGATTGTATTGAGTCAGCTCATCTCATGCTGTGGTCTTCCTGTTTTTTTTTTTTTCCTGCCTTCAGCTTTTCCCAATATGATTGTCTTTTCCAGGGAGTCTTCTCGTAACCTCCCCAAAGCACAATAGCCAGAGTTTGGTCATTTTCAATTACAGTGAGTTTAGCTTGATTTGATCTACTACCTACTCATCTTTCTGGGAGTCCATTTTATTCCTAAAGCCTCCCTCAATGCCATTTTCAAAGGAACTGATTTCCTCTTTTGCTGACAACTTTCTTCACTGAACATCTTTCACATCCATACATAGTAACTGGGAACACCATAGTATGGGTGATCTTTTCCTTGATTTCCAGAGACCCATCCTTACTATTATGAATCTTTTGTACTTCCTTCATAACTGCCTTCCCAAGTCTCAAAACATCTTTTGACCTCTTGATTGTTGTCCCCATTTGGATTAATGACTGAAGCAAAGAATAGAAAATCTTTAACAATTTAAATTTTTTTCACCATTAGCATTATAGCTATGCAACTCTTCTGTACTGATTTTTTCTCTTCTCTATACTCAGCTATAATCCTCCTTTTACACGGTCTTCTTTTAACCTTCCTCAACAGTCATTTCAAGTAATTGCTGCTTTCTGTCATAACATGGTATCATGTGTATATCTTAAACTACCAGAAAATCACAACAGAAGGAGGGAAGTTTTCCCGAGGTTTTTTGAAAACAGCTGAAGGGCTTTTCAAATTTATCTGTTCATAAACTAGGCTGTGCCAGCCCTACAATTAGGCAGAGTGAGGCAGTTACCTCAGGTTGCAGATTTTTGGTTGCATGAAAAGGCACTTTAATGCTTAGTTATTTACTTTATTATGATTGTATTTTTACTTTGGGAGTCATCTTCCTTGATCAGAAATATATCCCAACGATGCTAGTTTAGTGGTTTTTTCCTTAATGTGAAAATTTTCTCATAACTTATCTGAAAATGTACTGTACTTGATCAGTCAGGCCCCTGGTCCCTTTTGTTCAGCCTTGTTCATGTTGACTGGCAGGTCTCAATTACAACAGTTGACATATTCATGTTATGTCCAGCAATGTGTTCTCTTGCAAACTCTTCCATTTATTTCTATTTTACTTCATACTACATATTAACTTTTATAGAATAAAAAATTAAAACAGAATATACTTGTCTTCCATTCATATAGGGACAACCAAATTTAAATTAACAAAAGCCACACCAGTTCTGAGGACTTTTGAACACATCAGCAATCTCATTCCTCAGTTTTCTGACACAATTCCTACCCCATCCCTAACTTTACCCTTACTTCCTATGCAGAACACATGCTCCACATATACAAGATAATGATAGGTGCTAGAACATGAAACACCCAAATTGTTCTAAAACTCAATTCCAGTAACAAGGAGGTTAAGGTGACCTGCCTATCACACATTCAGCAAATACAGGATGTGGAGTGCGTAATCATATGGTTTAGCTTTATTATCACAGCTGATTGGTGCTGTGGCTATACCCCTGCCACTGTGTGTGGCATAAATGCTTCCTCGTTTCTCATGTGTTGAGATGACCTAGAAAAGGGCTTTTCATGTGTACTCATGTATATGTTTAAGAGAGTTCTTCTATATGGGGACTCTGGTTGGCTCATATCCCCCTTTATGTGGAGCTCAGTATGTATGGAGAGCCCCTTTCTCACACACGGACGAGATAGTTTCTGCAGTGGGTTGCAGTTTGTGTTGCTGCAGAGCAGGTGAGCAGCACTGGGTGGACTAGTCTGAATGTCCAGATATTTATTTCCTGTTTACATTTGTATCTCACTTTTTTTGCTGTGAGTTCAGCAAAGACTCTCCTTTTCTCCATATTATTTGTGCAACAACCGTGTGAAGCAAGTCCGACTGATAATGAGTGACAGGCCCAAGAACACGTCATAACCAAATATAAATTTGAACCCAGGTTGCCCGAGTCTTAGTCCAGCAATTTAACTATTACACCACATGGCCATCATCTGCATTCTTTTAAGGGGAGATTATATGAATTCACCTAATACCTATATTGCTCAGTTATATTTCTCAGTGATGAGGGCTGACATAGTTTTATGTACCAAATAGGAAGAAAAAAAGTTTCCTCTCCCCTTTATCTGTTCACATTATATTTGAGGATTTCAAAGATTAAAGAATCTGGCACAGTTTGCCTAGAGACTAGTTCTTATCCTAATTAGAATAAATATGGAGATTTATGAAATATAGGAAATAGTATTACAGAATGACCTACATCTGTATCCTGGAGTTTAGAGAAGTCTTAATCATTTTTCATCCTTTGTTTTTATATTATCAAGTATGTATGGCTGTAGAGCAGTGGTCCCCAACCTTGGGCCTCCAGATGTTCTTGGACTACAGCTCCCACAAGCCCTCACCATCACCTCTGCTGGCCAGGATTTCTGGGAGTTGAAGTCCAAGAACATCTGGAGGCCCAAGGTTGGGGACCACTGCTGTAGAGAGTTTGCACTTTACTTAGTATAAAGGAAGATCAATTTGCATGAACAGTACTATGTTGTATGCATTTGTCTCATGCTATATGTGCTTTTGAAAGACAGGGTGGTTACTGTGAGAAGACAAGTTTGCTGCCAGAAGGATTTCACTGCCTGTGACAGGATTTGAGCCAGCAAGGCAGCTTTGTCATCATTGTGTTGTGCAATATACGGGTTTGCTTGGGGCTGATTCTAGATTTTGTGTCTCACTAAGGGAGTCAGAAAGTTTCAACTCTTTCATTTACAGAAATAATTGATTTCACAAAGAGCAACAGGAGGACAAGTTCCTTTAGAGCATTCCCAACTGTAACTGGCTGAAGACAGCTGATAATATATTTTCTGATGCAGAACTGGAGATTCGCCACCCCTGCATATGATAAATAGAGATGCGTACTGTATCTGGGAAAAGGTTTGATATGTGAACATATGGGTAAATTGAACTATACACTTACATTTGTTAGAGTACTTTATGGGGAAAATAATGTCTGTATACTCAGATTTGTGGATGGCTGTAGTTAGAGAAACAAGGTATGAAGAAGAGCCTAAGGACTCTGAATAGACTCCAGACAGGTAAAGGAAGGCTTAGGTGGTAGCAGGAGTACAGATTTAAATCTGTTTTAATTTAGGGGTGGGAGTTAGGAAGGAAAATGTTTTATAAACTTTCTCATTAGTATTTATTTCTTATTTACTCTGCCTTTCTCCTCAAGAAATTCAACAATTTAAGTTGTTATGGCTAGGCTACATCTTGAGTTGTACATTAATAAATCTGTCTTTCACTTGTACTCTCTTCTCCCTCTCCCCGACCCCAGACTTCACCTACATAGACAAATATTTCTGAATGGTCCTAATACAAGTATTACCTGACTCTGAATTTTGATTTTTTGTTCTTGTGGACTAACCTGGTTTACCTTGACTTATGTCTAAAGTTCTTGTTGTATTCACACAATATAGAATTTCCTGCCCTGGTACTCTCTTGGGGCTGTACAGGCCACCGAAAGTGCCACCCAAGGGAAAAAGCAATAGGTGGAAGTCCACTTTCATCTTTGAAAAATAGGAAAGGTATTTGAAAAGAGAACAATCACTCCTAAAAGCTACCAAGAGTGTCAACTTACATTTTTGTCCCCCCCCCAAAAAAAAACACAACAAAAATAGAGAGCCAGGAACAGCTGAGGGGTCAAAATACCTGTCCTGGCATCCCTTCAAATGTAAAGAATTATATGAAAGACCATGGAAAGTGTTTATACTGTCATCTGAGTTAACGTTTTGAGAAGTACTGTATTGTCTTTTCAGGAACACTAAGTAACAAGAAAAGAAAAAAAATACATACTCAGGTTAAACAACACACTGCATTTAAATTTATACTAATACAGTACTATAATTAGTTGTTTTGACTTCTATACCACCCCATAGTGCTAGAACACTCTCTAATATATATATGTGTGTGTGATTTAAAGTCAGTTCTGATCTATGGCAATCCTCCCAGGATTTTCTAGGTATAAAGTCCTCAGAAGTGGTTTCCAAGTCCTTCTTTCTAGTTGTGCCCTGGCACTACACAACTGGCTCAAGGTTTCACTGGTCGCAGGGCACATCAGCTATGTATGCCTTAGGACATCAAAGCTGGCCCCTCTCCTGCATTGGGAAGGAGCAGTAAGGATTTGGATTCTTTACACCAGCCTTTTTTTTTAGCTTGAGTTGGTGGAGGAATATAAATTAGCTGAGTAGCAAAAATTTAAATGGTCCCAGTCTGTGTTATTGATGCAAAGGCTTCATTGAAGGGAAAAAGAACGGGATCCTTAAATACTGGGACCATTTTATATCTTTGTTACTCAGATTATTTTTAAAAACACCCCCCCAAACACACAGAGACTAAAACAGGCAGCAACAGGTGAGAAGAATCAACTGGAGGTAGTCTGTACAA